GCAATCCGGGGTAATGAAGGTGATGTTTGGCATCGATGCTGATTTCTCAGTATCGCATCTGAAATTGAAAAGTCAGTGATTTTTTTTCTTTGTTTGGTTGGTTGATTATGTCGTTTTCTGAGAAACCGGCAAAAAAAAATCCCTGAAATCAACTTGGGTGAGAGATCACCACATTTGGTGATTCCGATTTTTATTGGGTGAGGTGGCATCCTATGGGCGAGAAGGTGTTCTAGTGCTTCATTGAAAAATAATCACTCTTAAAAATCAATACCAAATAATTTTAAAAGTGATTTCTAAAAAATTAGCTGACATGGAGGAAATGATACCAAATAATGAAGAAAAAAAAGTGATTTTGAAAAATCACTGATTTCAGTAACCACTGCCTTTCACAAAATCAAGTGTGAGAAATCATCATCAATACCAAACATCACCAAAGTTGCTCAGTGTCTTAAGCACCTTGTAGACAAATTAACAAAGCAACCCTTGAGGCAAGGGCACCATCATATGAATCAGGACAACCCAGAGAAGGGATATTGAATTTTTTATCCACCATTAAGGTTGTGTTTGGTATAATTACTATTTCTACCTGAAACATTTTGGATTAATCAATAGAAATTGATGAGAGATATAAATTACCACATCACACGAGTCACTTCAGCTAAAATGAATAAACTTTACCACCGTAGGACAAGAAGCGCCAATTTGACATTTCTACAAACAGTCTCTCACACATGAGCCATGCCTGTTTCAACTATAAACAGTCTCAAATAACAATTGCATGCAAATTTGTAAGGTTACAACTCGAGCTAGGTTGGCCCAAACCCAACCCAAATTGGGTTGGGTTAGGGTTGAAGTTTATGAACCCGACTTTACTTCGGGTTGACCCCTCGAGCAATCCAAATCCAACTCTATATTACATATCATATATAAATATATTATATATATGATATATCGCTTAACCCTAATTGGAAATACTAAAACCTTAATAACATATTTTATGTTTTTTGAATATTTTATCTTTATGTCCTCTCAATTGTTTGCCACCCATAACTTGGTGTCCATAAAAGATCTATTATAAGTCATAACTCATAATAAATTATACTCATTTCAAACACTTTTTTTTTCTGAATTTTGTATTTATAGAACCAATAGAAACATCAACAAACAAATACTAATAAAACTTAGGATTAATATATATAGTGAAAGTTGAGTTAAGATATGAGATTGAGAAATTCTGCGAGATTATAAAGGATGGGAAGAAGGTTGGGTTGGGCCTAACCCGAGCCCAGCATAATCTGAAGTTGGTTTTGGGTTGGGTTAGGATTGAAGGAATTTAGTTAGGGTTAGGGTTAGGGTTGGATAGGTCGAGTTGGGTTAGGGTTAGGATTGGGGGTTTAGAATTTAGAGTTAGGCTAAGATTGTCCTCAACCCAACCTAACCTGACCCAACTTGCAGCCCTACAAATTTGTATCGATCAACCCAAAAGGTTTTCGATACAAAAATGGTATCAGATACAACCTAAGTTGGGATAATAACAGTAACATCGATCATGAACTGCACAAGAATCAAACAGGCATGCCATTTGAAAAGAAAAAATAATCTCATGTATCTCATTTTTTTATAGAATTACTGTTAAAATATTATAGGCCAAACAATTGTTTTTAACCACAAATACAGGACATGGATGAAGGGTCACAGAGAAGGAGATATGGATTAACGGGGATAAGACAGGAGAGGCCGGGGCTCATCCAAGCAAGAGGCACCTAACCTTCTGAGCACAGAAACTAAGAATCCAAGATTATAAAATGTTAACTCCTCCCTATGGATCAATTGCTACGACCCTTCATTTTCACTGATCTTTCAATTGGGAAATCTCCTCAAACAGGACCACCGATAAGTATGGTCCCCCACAATTGGCGTATGAACTAGCAATACGTCCTCACTTTGTACCTCTTCACTCATTACAAAGAACAGTAATTTTCTAGAACTCTTGAATCTTGATGTCGCATTCGCAAAGTAGAAAAATTTGCTACAGCTACGTGCCTACGTGTTTTGAGTATTTCTTTAGTCATTATACAATGACAAAGAGACCTTATGTACCGACCAGATATCTGTTGCCATTGCAGAGTAGAGAGCACGCTTTGCGTTGCGCTGGACTGCTGTACTACTGTGGCTTTATGACCAACTCTGTTACAGGTCTTGAAGGAAATTCAACTCGAATACTCGCCCAAGAAATTAAGAATAACAATCACTGTCTTGAGAGGGAAAGGGACGTCTGTATTTGTTGGTAGCGTTTGGAAGTCTAGAGAAGCATCTTTTAATTTTATACGATTGGTAGCACCATCTATTTCACTTTTAACCTGCATCAGCATGTGGTCGGTAGGAATACTTGCAGAGATGACGTTTACTAAGCTATGTTCGGTTTGAAATAAAATAAGGGAAACATAAGGTTGAGGGGAAGTTTTGAGGAATTTCACAAATTTTATTAAGAACCTTTCATTTTTTTGTAGATGTTAAGATTTAAGAACCTTAGAACCTTCCTTTTAACTTTCTGTTGCTCTCTTATTTTCTATTAAACCAACCCAGAAAGATGCTTGGTTGGCTGGATATTTCTGAGCCAAAGCCTTAACAGCTTGATCCACCTTTCCTAATAAGACCGATTTTGCCTGTTATTTTCGAGTTCGAATCTACTGACCATGATACATTACTGGCCACGCACATCCTGCTACACATCGGGAACATTGGTTGTACTTTACATCACCGATATTTCCGATTTACATAAGCATGGCCAGCAACGTATCCCGGTCAGCAGATCCGGACTCGTTCTTTTCTGAGTTACGATTGAGCAATCCAACCAACTTAATGCGAATTTCAATCTGGTTCCTGCTGTCCTTTCTCCAGACTCGCCCAATGCAAACCCCTTAGAGATCTATTAGTGCATTTTGGCAGGCCATTATAAAGTGTTAATTGCTAAAATCCATGTCCTCTTTCCACAAGCATATCAACTGACATAAAAACTAGTTAAATCCCCATAAGATATATGAATTCAACCTCCCATGAGCAATTATAGTAATGTAACCAAATAAATGCCTAAAGCAGAATTGGAGATGAAATGGAAGGGATGTTCATAAACATGTAAAAAATAACACAAATAAATATCTTAGTAGTAAATGGAAGGAACAAATTCACTGGCAGTCGGTCTGTATTTGAAGTTTATGAACATTAAAAACCATGCTGGTTTGCTCCAAATCTACCACCCATTAGCACATTTGACCTCCTCTTGATTCGTTCATCGTAAGCATCAACAGATTTGAGACCATCAAGCTTTCACAACCACATGTTATAACCAAATTTAAATTCAATGACCTACAAGTGTGAAGTGTAATTAGGAGAATGCTCCAATAAAAAGCTCAACACCTCAGACCCTTAACTAAAGCTATATGAAGTTAGTTAATAAACCCAATTACAATATTGCACTTTGTCAAGGGCCATATCCTCTGTTAAATTATGAGTTCTCAACTCTTTCCTCACTACCTAAACCCATGCCCTCTGTTAACTTCTTGTTAGTTAAGGATAGCCATTTAAAAAAGGGCACCTTGGAGGTTGAAGCTTAAGGTTACAACTGTCTCCATGATAAGTGCTGGGAGGGTTTTCCTGTGGCTGCTTAAGCATAAAACACCATAAACGCCAATGTACAAAGAGATTCTGTACAATCATCAACAGGRMATCAAGTATGACCAAAAAAATCTATAGACAATGAAGTATGACAGTGCTCTCTGCTAATTAAACATTTTGCCGATAGCCAGTCCCTAATCAGACCACAAGGCAAAGTCAACGACTGTTTCTTCTGAACACTTTTTCTGATAAAAATTTCAAGAACTCGTTTCGGACCAAATCACCCAAAAAATTGCTAGTGGGATCACAGCCCAGGTTGCCCTTCCAATCTTGCCTGCCATAATTAGGCTTGCCCATATCCATTTATAGGATTACTATACTGAGAAACATAGAGTAGATAGGCTTCTGATCAAGTTCATCTTTGATATCTTGTTGAGAATCTCCTCTATGTAAACAGTTTGAGCAACACACCAG